AAAGTATCATTTCTACAGTACATTATTTTTGTATGTGACAAGACTTTTGTCCAAGCAAGATCTGACCTTTCTGTCCTAATTAAATGATAAAATTCAGTGAATGATACACAACTTTATTTTGGTATAATAAGCATAATATAGAGGCCTTTGCCTTTCATATAAGCCATTTCTGATTCCAATTGATCAACTACAAGTCAAGTTATTATTTGTTGTTCCTACAACTTGGATAAGCGACAAGACTTTTGTCAGGGACTGTATGGAATGAAACTTGGAATATATATAGCCTGATTATATAGAGTGAAACTTTAATATATAGAATGGTTCAATAAGTGTGAGGCGAAATCTCTGCAATCCAAATTCAATTCTTGATCCTGACAAAAGGAGGGTACATCATTCTTCTCAACAAAACTGAGGAACCAAATCTGGCTGTTGTTGCATGATTCAACAGTTTGGATCCTCCTGACTTCAGGCTTTCAGGCCTTGTAGGCCTCAAGCCAAACACATTCAGCTGGAAATCAAGAATCCCCACATCTTGATGGTAAACAGTGTGAATTACTGCTACAACCACACACTAAACACTGAAACTAACCAGCTGAGAAAAGGGGATGCCTCCGAAAAAGCAACCAGATGAAGATTATGTTTCACTCGTGGTGGTGCATGAACTTCTGGAACAATAAAAGACATTCTACAAAGACTTGATGTGCCAACAAGAAAATCGCTTCAAAGACTTTGTCCAGATGATTCTGGACTCGTCAAACAAGCGACTGGATGATTTGACAAGAGAAGTGCAGGATTTAAAAACAAGCCTTCAATTTACTCAGGATGAGGTGGATGGGCTAAAACAAACACAGGCCCAAACATCTGAACATCTTCAATCCTTCAAGGCTGACCTCACTTCACTGCAGGGGACTGCTCTCAATGTATCTAACAAAATGGATTATATTGAGAATCATTCAAGACGAAACAACATCATCATAGATGGCCTTGATGAATCTCCTAATGAAAAATGGACTGAGACTGAAAATAAAATTATGAGCCTTCTTTCAGAGAAGATGAAGATAGATCACCGTCAGATTGAAATTGAACGTGCTCATCGTTCAGGAAAACCTGCCTCAATGAGTAATAAACCCCGACCAATTACAGTGAAGCTCCTAAGGCATAAGGACAAACTTTCTATTCTGGCCAAAGCAAAAACCCTTAAAGGGTCTAACATCTACATAAATGAGGACTTCTCTGATATTGTTCGACAGAAGAGGAGAGAACTTCTACCAGAGATGAAAGCTGCACGAGAGAGAGGAGACATAGCCTACCACCACCATCCCACAAGCCAAGAAGAAATGAGATGACGACATAAGGTGTCCAGCCTTAGATGGCTGATTGGTATAATGGTACTGTTTTTGTTTTTTTTGTTTACTTTTAATTTCATATGATTAAACATGAACAGTGTTCACAGTGTCAAAGGCATATGAATTTGAGCATTTACTGTGCACTTTGCAAAAATGGGTTTCATATTAAATGTACGCCTGTATCTAAAAAGACAACTGGCATATGGACATCTTGGATCTGTAAAGACTGCGTAATTCTTTTTCCTTTTCATACACTTGAGGATGATGATTTTGCCTCCTACCTGCTAGACAGACATGACTGAAGAATCATAGACACTGATAATATGATGTTTAACCCATTTGATTTAAATCATAAAAATGAATCTTGTCATGATTCAAATTTTGATCCTGATATAAATTTTTTCTCAACACACTCTAATCTAGGTCAATGACACTACTATAGAGAAAGTCAATTTAAGTCGTATATTAAATCACTTTCAACAAAGTCAATTTTTTTTTCATTACTGCATCTTAATGCTTGTAGCTTACCAAAAAATTATGACCAGATTGTGCATTATTTATCACTCTTAGAACGTGACTTTTCAGTAGTTGCTTTAACAGAAACGTGGCTTACTGAGGAAACTAAGGATTTATATGGAATGTTATCGTATAATTCTATTCATGCTGTTAGGGAACATAAAATCGGAGGTGATGTTGTAGTTTTTATACATAAAAAAACATCACTTTGAGAATAGACCTGATCTTTCCCTTAAATCTGATAAAATTGATATAGAATCTGTTTATTGAA